TCTCTCTCTCTCTCTCTCTCTCTCTCTCTCTCTCTCTCTCTCTCTCTCTCTCTCTCTCTCTTCTCGAAAGACGATGCGTCTGAATGATTGTCCCTTTCTTAAATGAGAATGAGTCGGCCTCCTATTTCTGTGTGAAAGAACTTCTTCCAGAACTTTTCCATTAGTTTCCTGGGTAATCCTCCTACACAAGGACCCCGTCTACTTGTCTTGTGAACGGTGGATGCGTGTGTACTGTGCAATGCAATCCATCTTTTCCTGTGAATGTCTCATTTTCGCACCTTCCACAGTGAATGCATGAATAGAGATGCGTGACTTTTCGGATTGATTAAACGAGTGTCGTCGGGATTTTGTTCGAGAATACAAGAGTGTTTAGATCTATAGTCCCGAACGCACACTGCGCATGCCATCTGCCTTATGCGGCACGACATCAGCAGCCACGCCACCAGGCGACCTTGAGAAACACGGCGCCGAAAACCAACGTTGTGTAGAACTGAGTCGCGGGTCTGTCCCTTAGCCCTATGCATGATCAAGCTGATGTGTGTCTGCTCCCTCGTGTGTCAAGAAGGGTAGATTGAGGGTCGCATGAATGATTTTTGCTCTTAATGATGCCTCTGGATATATGTGATTGATTGATATGTGGACTGACAAGCACCCTTCGATTGGGCGCCAGCCTCCCGTATCTCCCATCCCAATGCGACCTTTTCCCTACAGTGAGGAAAGGACACGTGTATGTGAGTGGGACGTACGAGAAGCCGTCACACAAATCGGCGGGCAGTATTACTTCCCTCCGGCCAACCGATGTTATGGGTTCGTAGACGCCGGATTTGTCATTATCGATACGCACTTTTCACCCTACTCGATATTGTTGCTGTTTAACGAGCTGATCGTCATTCCGTGGACGGCAGTAGCGCCCCATTGGCCCCGCACTCTGTGCACGAAGTGCCAGCGTTTCGATCGCTACGAAGCGAAGGGCTTCCACTACCGAATACAGAGTGAGGACGAGCATAAGGAAAGAGTCACTCGGCTGAGACCATCCACGTCGGATTCGGAGCTGACCAGTGAACGACGACGAGATCTGATACGCAAACGAGACACGCGAAGCGTGCCAGAGCCTTTCCGTTCTAAACGACGGGCTGTAGCCGGGTGGGAAGCCCAACAATACTTTCTGGATTGAATTTGGATCTTCCTGTTTTCTCGCCATGTCCGTGTGCGCAGTCCGCGACACGCGAAACTAATCGACTTGCTTCATCGGACCATCACGGGGGATTTCAGTTCCATCTATGTCCCCACACTCAATTTCCCAAAAATCCTTGGCACACCTCATCTTGCTGTTTTTCTGGTTCCCACACGTCTCACACTCCGAACGAAAGACAGCACAGGGCGAGAGGTTGGTATCGGAGCGGACACGTGTCGGTTCTGATGATAGTAAGTCGAACTGGCGAGAGGTAGGGGAGACCCTCAACTAGCTCGTCGAGATCGCCCCGTAACCAGGTCTCAGTCTAGTGTGACTGCACCAGCAGTACCAATGGTGGACGATACTAGGGTGATCGTTAGCATCCCTGCCCCTTTTCCCTTCTTCTCTAACCATACCCATCCCTAGGCCTGGCTGGAAGCTGTCGAAGCTCAAAACTACAGCGCAGCCGATCTTCCCCGTGTTCTGATATTACTACTTCGCAACACATCACATGACTGGTTTAGAAAACATACGTGGGTAGATTGGGATACTTTCAAGCGAGCATTCTTGGCTCGATTCGACACGGTTAGTGAAGATGTAGCCTGGTATGTACTCAAAAATCGACCACAAGGACAAGGGGAATTATTGCCCGATTTCGTCGATCGATTCCAAACCACGTTGGACAAATCCGGGCGAGACGAGAATTCTGATCGAGACTTGTTTATTGATCACCTTCGAAGTCCGACCTTGAAAGGGAAACTACAGAAAAAGGTTCCGCTGAAAACAACCCAGTTATCGGCTATCATCACTAAGGCGTTGGAGCTAGACTTGGCTGATACAAAAAAATATATCAGTCAGGGAGACGAGGACATTACAGATACCATATGGGATGTAACAGCCAAAAGGCGATCATGGCTACAAGAAGTCGAACGATTTTATCCCCGCCCCGACCATGATCTTCCCGGCGGGATTGTCTCCGATATCCCGACTGTTTCTCCTTCATCTCCCCCGGTGAATCAATCGATCGCAACCATTAGAAGCGGAACTTCATCTGAACCCCTCTCGCCGACCGTAACTAATCTACACCTTGCCCAGATGATCCATACGGCTACTACCACGCAGTCCGAATGGGTGAACAACTTGATCCAAATGCAGGCCGCTCATATGGAGCAGATGGAACAGATAATGAGTAGGCTCATTAAGCCTAACCCAGCTCCTGCTCGGCCTGCCCCTGCATCGTTTCCACTCTTACCTGCCCCACCTGCTTCAGGGTTTGCGCCTCAGTTCCCTCATCTAGCTAATCCAGCAGGGAAGATTGAATGCTTTAACTGCAAGCAGCCCGGGCATTTCGCCCGAGACTGTCCGCAACCGAAACGTAATCAGTCGCCCCCTGCTGCGGCCCCAGTCGCCCTTAATCAAGGACGAGTAGCCGCTCTGATGGACACAGACCAGGGAGGAAAGCTCGTAGCGTATGCTCCAGAACAGCCTTCCTCTTCGGCGATAATAGCGTCGACCTCAGGAACCCCTTCCTCTGACGCTGCTGACGTGGTCGATCCCCTCGAGTGTCTCCATCTTGCCGGAATGATCGGAGCGATCCGATCGGCCCAAGATGATCTCGAATGGGTCGATCGCGAGTCCAATCTTGGACCACAGTTTCGGACAGGGGATATTGATGTACTGAAAACGCTCAAGCAATTAGATATTCGCATCCCTATCCCAGTAGGGCATCTACTCACCATATTTGAAGCGGCGAACGATAAACTTTTACAACATTGCCAGAAAAATCAAAAGCGTTTCACCTATCAACGCATACAACGGATGTTGAAGAAGAAAGAAGAAAGCGAGGAAGTCGTACCCCATGAGCCTGACACGAAAAAGTCGGAACATGAAGCCGCACGTATAGCAGCGATCTCTTTAGCAGAAAAAGATCACTTCGTACGAGCTCGGTCGGTATTATGGAAAAGTGCGGAATGTGACTGTGAAGTGTTGGGCAAACCGTTTAATGCCCTTATTGACACAGGGTCTTCTGCTGTGGCCATATCATTGGATACTGTCAAAAAGACGGGACGACTGAGATCCATTCTTCCTCAATCTGGCAAAGACAATTATGTCTCTTCCGACGAGGAAGCAATGATCATCGTAGGCATTATCGAAAATGTGGCCGTAAAAGTTGGACGAGTACACGTGCTTGTTAACGCGCTCGTAATAGATGTACGTTCCTATTCTGTGTTGTTGGGATTACCTTGGGCGATGGCGGTGGGCGCACGTCTGCATTTCGATTCGAAGCAACTAGTGCTCACACAAACTGGAGGAAAACCTCAAACTGTTCCTTTGCGAGTTTCCCCCCGAACGATGAAACGGGTCCCCGACCCGGCCAAAATAGGGATGATCCGATACATTGATCTCGATGAATGCTCTCCCTCGCGCCTCGGGGATGAAATCAGGGAACAAGAATACTAGGAAGAGATGCCCAGTGAAGAGGAATGAAAATATCTGGTTGAACTTTTCGAACACGAAACCCCTGAAGAATTTCGAGTGTGCCCCGACACCGCTCGAAGTTTCCACATGGATTCTGAAGACAGTGCATTCACACCTCTAACAACCCAGGTCAGTCCTTCAGTAGCTGATGATTTGGAACCCCCTCGCACATTATACGAGGGAGCTTTTTCCTTACGAACGCGTTATCAACAAATGGAACAGTATTTGGATGTCTCTGTTTTTCCGCCCAGACCATTACTAACGATAGGAGTCACCATCGCCTTGATTAAACAAGAGGCTGAAGCACCGGTAAGTGACGTACCTAATCTGATGCAAGAAATGACAGATCTAACAGGGCTAACTGTGGAACCGATTTCGGTTGGTTTAGAGACCGACGCTGAAACTAAAGAAACGGAGATGATCAGCCCCGCTGAGTCCCAGATGATAGCAACTGTCTTTTCTGTGCGCACAGGTAGTTCCGTTTTCTCTAGTGTCAATGAGCGGCGGGAGCGGCCGGTTGATTGGATCGATATCCCCCTTAAGATGTCCAGGGAATCAACGATCACACTCCCGAGTCACGTTCCCGCGGAACTACGAAAATCGTTAATCCGTGTGTTAAATGGTTACGCAGATGTATTGAGCATGCACGATAATGACATCGGCCTGACAAATGTGATCGAGCATACTATTCTCACGGGAGACCACCCACGGTGACCCACCCATTAACTGTGTTCCTTACCGATATTCGCCAGCTCAACGAGCGGCCGCTTTTCAGCGGATTAAGGAGTTCGAAGCTAATGGATGGATCGAACCCGCTATAGGACCATGGTCTTTCCCTGTAGTAATCATACCTAAAAAGACCGGAGGGATTCACATCTGCATTGATTATCGAAAGTTGCATGATATCACGATTAAAGATGTGTATCCCCTCCCCCGGATTGATGAGTTGTTGGATGCGATTGGGAGTGCTCGATTTTTCAGCAAGTTTGATGTTCACCATGGGTTCCATCATCTTTTTGTTCGAGAAGAAGATCGTCCGAAAACAGCGTTTGTGCTTTTCGAGGGTACATGGCAGTGGATTCGATGTCCGATGGGTATCTGCAACGCCCCTGCGACTTTTCAGCGGGCCATGAACATGTTTTTTCAGAATTTCGTACGGAAGACTCGCCTGGCGCAGAGCATCATCAACTACTGCGTGATTGTGTACATGGATGACATCCTGGTGTATTCGAGCTCCTACGAGGGACACGTGCAGCACATCGAGTGGGTACTGCATGCGTTACGAGATGCAGGTTTCAAGGTGGCGCTTGAGAAGTGTTAGTTTTTCCTCACCACCATTTATTTCATGGGGCACGTGGTGACAGACAAGGGACTCCAACCGGAGCCGCAGAAGGTGGCAGCTGTCAGGGACGCGCCAGTGCCTACCACTATCACGCAAGTTCGCGCCTTTCTGGGCCTAGCCTCGTATTACCGAAGATTTATCAAGGGCTTCGCGGCGATTGCGGGACCCCTCACAAATCTCCTCCACAAGGATCAGCCGTTGATCTGGACGCCGAAGTGCGATCAAGCGTTTTTCAAACTCAAGGCTGCTCTCATTTCGGCTCCGGTCCTTATAAGACCGAATCCTGAAAAGCCTTTTGTTCCCATCACCGACTGGGAGCCAGAGGCGATTTCGGCGATCCTTGCCCAGGTGGGACCAATCAGACTCGAGAATGTGGTAGAGTATGCGTTCCAATCAGTACCCGCCTGCAAGCGCAACTACGCCGCTCCGACGGAAGAATGCTATGCGGCTCTTTGGGGAATCAGTCACTTTCGTGCTTACCTGTACGGGCGAAAATTCACCCTGGTGACTGACCATGAGCCCCTGTTGGCTCTGAAGAAGTCGAAGGATTACTCGGGCATGATCGGGCGATGGGCAACGGTGTTGCAGAGCATGGACTTTGACATCTTCCATCGAAAGCACGAGAAACACGAGAATGCGGACAGGCTGACACGTCTGCATCGGCCTGAGAAGGTTCCAAAGGGTGAGGAGGTGATTCCGTGGAACGAACCCGAACAGGAGATCGGACCTCGATACGGCCAAGTGGAGATCTTATCGAAGCAGTAAATGGCACGAGGACTAATTGTTCTGTTCTACCCTCCCTGTATCCTCTCCTCCTCTAACATCATGGTTACTCCACTCGCCTCCGCAACCCCTTCATCTCCTGCTAATTCTGCCCCTCTCACGTCCTCCGCTTTCTTTGTCACCCTCCCCGATAAATTCTGTTATTTTTGCACGTGTATTGCACGGGTTTATGGGGTTGATTGTCATCCCTTCGAAACTGGGTTTGTCGATTGGGTAGAATGTGCCACGTGTGTCAATCGTGCGCACGGGGCCTGCGTTCGATATCGGACGAGTAATAAGGAATGGAGGTGCCCCCTGTGTAGAACGAACAAGCTCCCCACGGAGGTTCGATTCGAGGCCGCCCGTACGGACGGTCCTTAATACGACGAGAAATACCGACGGGCGGAAGTCTGGACGGATAAAATTTTATTGGCAAAATTAGCAGGATTATCATTGGGCCATCTCACCAAACACGACAGACGTAGGGCGACCGAGAGATCTCGGGACTATCGATGGATCAACGGTCATTTGGAAAAGCGTAAAACTGACGGATCGGGTTCGTGGCTGACAGTTCCCCATCCCTTCCAGAGATACAATTGGATCCGATCTGCTCACGAGGAACAGGCCGCTCATTTCGCGATACGTGTCACAGAGGCAACTGTAGACCAGAATCGATGGTTCTGGTCCAATATACGAGGTGATGTCAAATACATTGTTGCTAACTGTTCGGTTTGTGTCGCTGATCGCGCCCCTATACGGGGACCAAACACAATCATACCAACGGAAGTAGAGCATCCTTTTCAGTGAGTCAGTATGGACACGACAAATATTGACGTGCCACCTGGCCTAAACCGCTGTGAATATTCTATTTTATTAGTATTAATTGACCATTTTTCCAAGTACATCGAGGTCTATCCCTGTAAGACCCGAAAAGCCGCAGAAGTAGCCACGTACATCGAACGGTTCCTCTATATCCATCTAGATACGGAAGAAATTCTAACCGACAAAGGATCAGAATTTAAAGGCGAGGTAGAAGAACTGCTTGAGCGAAGGGGCGTCATGCTCTGACATACGGCACCCCACGTGTCCCGGTCGAACGGGTTGGCCGAGAATGCCAACCGTATGATTAAAACCGCCCTTCGCAGGAACTTAGCGGCACACGACACGCGTCCTTGGCCCGAAATCGTGTATTAGATCGTCGGGATCCACTGGGCCACCCCTCACAAGTCTACGGGGTTTACCCCCTTTGAGCTTCGAACTAATAGCCTCCCCTATGTCGATTACCGGGGCAACTCGAAAATATCCGAAGCAGGGGGTAGAGACACGCGTGCGGCGCTCTAGGCCAAGGCCAAAAGGTACACCGATTTGATGGAACGGGCCGTTCCGAAGCTAGCCCGAAAAAGACAAAGGATGACCGAGCTGGCCCACGGTAGACAGGTCCGTAGCTACGAGGCCCGGAATGGAAACGCTGGGCCCCAGTACCAATATAAATTAGGGGACCTAGTGCAGGTACGTAAATGTGCATGCGACCGAAAACTCGCTCCCATGTACTCTGGTTGTTTTTCCGTTGTCGAACTCGGACCCAACGACGCTAACACGGTGCGCATCGCGCCTGAGGCTAGCGCCCGCCATAACTCTGTCCCCATCGTCCGGCATACCTCCTATCTCCGTCTTCTTCCTCCTTCCAATCGTCCTCCCTCTTCTTCCTCGGAAAGCGAGGAGAATGACGACGATCTAACTTTCTCCCGTCTTTCTCCCTCTCGTCCTTCGTCCTCCTCTCCAACCTCGCCATGAGTTTTATCACGGAGCGGGTTCTTGATATTCAGCTGTTGCAGCCACGTGGCCACATCTCAGAGATTCGGCAAGTTTGTCACCCTCGGCTCAATACGGATCTTCGGCGTTTAATGCGATTCTTCTGCGACGAAGGTATCTGTGTCGCCGCCACGTTTCGAATAGAAGGAAGTCCTCGCGCAATAGTGTTCACGGAGGTTACCACAGTTCATCGGCGAGCGGGTCCCAGAACGAGCCACGTCACCACAGTGGCGGGATTCACCGGCGACATCAGCTCGGTCAATCCGCTGCGGCATACCGCGATCTTGGCCTCGTTGCGCGAGTGGACGGAGCAAGTGTCCAACGTATGGCAGCACGTCCTCACCCGGGAGGGGTATAACATCATCCCGATCTTTGCATCGGACCTGGACGGTATTCGCCGATCACCGCGCGAGCGGCCAGTTGCGATCCCGACCATC